GAGAGGGTTATTGCTCCTGGGGATGGGACTTCTGAGAGAGAACCATCTAACTGTTGAGCGGTTTAGCTTAGTCCTCTATCTTGCATTTGGTTTATTCTCTTGTGGGATCTTATCTCAACATGTCAGACACCGAGGCTGTACGCGGTTCATCTGTAGTATGGGGCTTTTTTCTCTATGCGCTGCCTCCCCCATCTCCTGTGCTGTGCGTCCCCTGACCGTCTCCATCACCAGACGGCTTTAAATTCGTTGCCAACAAATTTAATAATCGATTCATTCATGACGTCATTGCTCCGTAGCGACACCGTCAACTAGGGCTGGACAATATTGCCAAAAATGTTATCACAGTATGTTTCATATCTTTCAATATCACGATAAGTATCAAATTGTTATTTCTTTTCAGTTTAAAGGCTGATTTTTGCTCCTGAGTTAAAGTTGAAGAAACCTGATGGTTAATTGTGGTTTAAAATCTTCTTTATATTCAACACTTGAAGCCAAACAGTGGATCACTTTACAAATCTGAGGTAGAACATACAAAACATTTATGATAAAATCTTTGTCAACAAATATCTATTTAAGTAAAATTAAGTAAAATTTTTCAGTCCTTTTCTTCAACAAAATACATCTTATTAAAAATTAAGTCTAATCATGTTGATTCAAGTGAATAAAATCAAACATTTATTGAATATTTAGAGGTCCCTATTGAAACTGTAATTATATATATTTTTCTTCTTTCTGCAAAGTAAGCTCAATTTTGGAGGCCTAAACATACTCAAACTCAGCAAATTTTGCACACATGTCAGAAGTGGTGAAAAATTTCATATTTTATGGGTTTCGCGCATGGGTGTTGCAAAATGACTCGCTAGCGCCACCTAGAAAATTGGAAAAAATTTGCCCCTCGTCCACATGGGACATGTATCATATCAAGACGCACAAAAAAGCCTCAAGAAACCATATCCTAAACTCAACAGGAAGTCGGCCATTTTGAATTTTACGGCAATTTTTGGACTATTTACACACTCCGTACTTCAACGAACTCCTCCTAGGGATTTATTCGGATCGACTTCGACTTTCTGCTGTGCCTTCTAAAGGCATTGAAGATGAAAAGTTGTGCTATCTGAGTTTTCGTTGATGGGCGTGTCCATGGCGTGGCGTCAACTCTTCGCCATGACACAGGAAGTTGTTGTAACTTCAGTGTACATGCTCACATCTGAACAAAACTTTATATGTAGGATGAGAGTCCCACCCTGAACACATCTACGCGCCAATATTTATAGTCATAGCGCCAAGTGCTATTTAGCGCCACAAAGGGGATACAGGAAGTGACATATAACACCTTCGTGCTATAGCGAATTCACCGCACCAGCAGAGCTCCAGAATATGCAACGCGGCCACCTAATGCCCCCACGCACTACAAGTGCAGCTTTAATAACTATCAATATTTTTTTTACAGTCAGTTATTAACTTAGCCTCTGGCATTTTACAGAGCATAAATTAGCCTAGTGGCTAGCAAACTTTTCCTCTCCTTATAGACTTACCTTAAAGTCACTGCATCTCCCGACACAACACCACGGTTGAATTTTCAGCCTGAATGTACATTTTCTACAGCTGCTGGTCGTAATGACGTCAACAAGCTGGAGGACTGCCGAGTCGTTTTCAGGTAGCAGAAACAGGGCGCAAGATGTAAACACGTAAGTGCGAGCCCTCCTGGAACCCGCAGAAATTGCATTGCAGCGGCCGCAGCTTGAAAAAAACTGTCTTTACATGAAAGTCTATGAGAGCGATCTGGGCGATTTTCAACCAGACTGAATTTGCCCCAAAAGAGGCGGGACTCAGCTGTCACAGCTCAGTGTGGTAGAAAGTGTGAGAAAAATATCCTCTGCTTTTCCCGGCTTGGCGGTGCGTCGCCCTAATGAACAAGCCGCCCCTGGGTGGCGGGTAATCTGCCCCACAGTCCCTTAAAAAAATATATAGGTTTAGGGGACACAGTATAAACTTTATGAAACCCTGTCTACTACAAAATTATTATTGTTGGTCCCCTCTTGTAATTTTGGCCTTTAAAACAGACACCACCCACCCAGTCTGCAGTCAACAAAGCTGACTTTATCACTGTTTATGTTAATACATTATCTCTTAGGCTACTGGCACTCACTGAGACCTGGATCAAACCAGAAAACTCTGCTATCCCCGCTGCGCTGTCCACCAATTACTCTTTCACCCACACCTGGGACCAGGCTCTTAATTTCCAACAAAAGGAAATTCACACAGCTGCTGCACCCAAATCAATATGCCTCCTTCAAATATCATGCTGTCTCGGAATCCGCTCCGGTAAAGGTCTCTATGATTGTCATACCGTCCACCAGGACAAGTGCGTAACTTTGTGGACGAGCTAGAGACACTGCTGTCTTCAATCCCAGAGCATGACGTTACTTGTCCTCAGTGACGTGAACATTCACTTAGACAAATGAAAATCTGCAGACTTCCTGTCTCCGATTCAGTCCTTGATCTAATACAGGCTCTCAGCCCCCCGACCCGCAAAGCTGGCAAGGTCACATGTCTGACCACTGTTTCATCCAGTTCATGGTATGCCTACAGGAACAGTCCATTGTTCCAGCATCTTATGTCTCACAACGACGCAACCTTTGCAACCTGTCTCCCACTCACTTTGCCTCAGTGGTAGCTTCCGCTCTACCTCCCCTCAACACATTTTCCTCACTTAAGGTCAATAATGCAACACAATCTCTTTGCTCTACACTGAGCTCATGTCTGGGTAGTGCCATGCCTGTGTCCTCTATCCACCAAACCTGCTCGCCAGAAACAGTCCCACCTGAGACTAACTGATACCATCCGCGCGCTCCGTACTGATCTCAAAGCCGCTGAAAGAAAAGGGCAAAAAACCAAAGACAATGGCGACCTTAAGGGCTGTCAGTTGCTTCTGGTGCAAAAGGCTCAACACCAAGGCTAACATGTAGCAGTCCTACTACATCTGTTCCTCTCTCCTCCCAGGTCAATGGCATTTCACACTCATTGTTACTCCTCTCACAGAGAGCGAAGTATCAGGACCCCTGACCCATAGCCGTCCTACTACATGCCCACTGGAACAGATTCCTACGAATCTCCTACCGTGGTCCTGGCAATCATTCATGTGATAAATACTCTGGCTTCGGGAACATTCCCGACCACTTTCAAAAGGGCTAAGGTTACACCCTTGCGCAAAAAGCCCTCCCTCGACCCAACTCAAGATGAGAATTGTCTGCCAGTTTCACTTCTACCATTTCTATCCAAAACTATTGAAGTCAATAAGGGCAGTTCAAACAGGTCTCAGAATTTGTCTCACGGAATGACCTCCCAGATCCATATCAGTTTGGTTTTAAGAGTGGCCACTCTACTGAAACGGTTCTTCTGTCTGTAACAGAAGCCCTCAGGTCAGCTAAAGCTGCAGCCCAATGCTTGGTTCTTGGTTCAGCTGCCTTTGACACAGTCAACCACAGATCCTGCTATCCGCGCTCTCAGCAATGGGCATGTCCGGCAAAGCACTCATGTGGTTCGAATCCTACCTCTCAGGGAATTCCTATAATGTTTTGTGGCAAAGACAATTATCTTACTCCCACTTCCTCTCCACAGGGGTGCCCCAAGGCTCAGTGCTAGGGCCCCTTCTCTTCTCAGTTTACAGCACCTCACTGGGGCCGATCATTCGCTCGTATGGCTATTCTTACCACTGCTACGCAGATGACATCTTGGCGCAGATCTCAGACTGTCTCTTGGACATTTACGCATGGATGAAGGCTTGCCACCTTCAACTAAACCTCTCTAAGACTGAACGCTTGGTCATTCCAGCCAAGCAATCTATCCACCATAACATCCAACTACAAATTGACTCCTCTACCATCACTCGAACCAGAGTGGTGAGAAACTTGGGTGTCATGATTGATGACCAGCTGTCCTTTTCAGACCTTGTTGCTGCTGTCTCCCGGCTGTGCTGCTTTGCTCTATACAACATCAGGAAAATCAGGCCCTACCTCACTCAGTACGCCACCCAGCTTCTGGTACAGGCCATGATTATCTCTCGGCTCGACTATTGCAATGCCCTCCTAGCAGGTCTTCCAGCTTGTGCGGTGAAACCCTTACTAATGGTTCAGAACGCAGCAGCACATCTGGTTTTTGATATTACTCAGTGATCTCCACTGGCTACCTATGGCCTCCCGAATCAAATTCAAGTCACCAATGCTTGCATACAGAGTGACTACTGGGTCTGCACCCATCTACCTAGTTTACGTTCCTTCCCAGCCTCTAGGCTACTCCAATGAACGCCGCCTGGCTCTGCCATCCCTTCACACAAAGCAATCCCAGTCCCGGCTACTCTCATCTGTGACACCACGATGGTGGAACAAGCTACCACACGCCATCAGAGCAGGTGGTGCCTCTCTAACTTCAAGAAGCTCTTCAAAACTCATCTCTTCCAAGAACACTTCCTCTTATAACACAGCTAACTCCTAACCTCTAACATTTCTTCTTCTATCCCCTTAGAACTATGTTGTATTGACTGAACTTTTTTCCCTAGGTATTTACCCCATTGATGCGATATCTTCTATTAGCTTTTGCTAAAAATGTCTGTCAAATGAGTTATTGTAATGAAGTTATTCCTTTCTTTGTATAAATATAGTGTCTGTTTCAGACTAACTGGCTACCATTAAGTACAATATTTTTAAAAGTAAGTACTCTAACCACTACTGTGCACTAACATTGTAATGTGTATTTAGAATACAGATGCAACAGTCCACTTCTGTCTCCAATCTCAGTCCGACATCAGCAAGACTTGTGTGCTATCTGCGTTGAGTTAGAGTGAGCCTCTCTTTGACCCTTCAGAAATGCACTGCAAGTCTGCATTGCAGTTTGGTTTTTCACGGGTGGTAATGCATTAGTCAGACTTGAACATTGTGGGGTGTGTTCCACAGACATGCTCTAAATGTCATCTATGGTTCTGAATAGTGGGATGTCACTGTGGAGCGAGCTAACTGTCTTCTCTCTCTGTATGTCTGTCAATGTAGAAACGGAGAGGAGGAGATGGACTCAAACGTCACCACTGTCAGCTCTGTGACAAATCCTTCACAGCATGCTGGTATTTAAAGATTCATCAGAGAGTTCACACTGGAGAGAAACCGTACAGCTGTGACCAGTGTGAGAAAACGTTCACTACATCAGGTGACCTAAGAATCCACCAACGTGTTCACACTGGAGAGAAACCGTACAGCTGTGACCAATGTGGGAAAGCTTTCACTCAGTCAAGTCACCTAACAATCCACCAACGTGTTCACACTGGAGAGAAACCGTACACCTGTGACCAGTGTGGGAAAACTTACATTTCATCAGGTGCCCTACAAAAGCACCGCCGTGCTCACACTGGAGAGAGACCGTACTGGTGTGACCAATGTGGGAAATGTTTCACTAGTTTTAGTAGTCTGTATGTCCACCGACGTGTTCACACTGGAGAGAAACCATACAGATGTGACCAATGTGGGAAAATGTTTGCTACATCAGATGAATTAAAACAGCACTATCGTGTTCACACTGGAGAGAAACCTTACAAGTGTGACCAATGTGGGAAAGCTTTCACTACATCAGGTCAACTTAAAGTCCACCAACGTGTTCACACTGGAGAAAAACCGTATGGCTGTGACCAGTGTGAGAAGTCTTTCTTTACATCAGAGAGACTAAAAATCCACCAACGTGTTCACACTGGAGAAAAACCATACGGCTGTGACAAATGTGGGAAAGCTTTTGCTGCATCAGGTGATCTAAATATCCACCGACGTGTTCACACTGGGAATAAACCGTACTGGTGTGACCAATGTGGGAAAGTTTTCTCTAGATCAAGTATATTAATTGTCCACCAACGTGTTCACACCCGGGATAAACCATACAGCTGTGACCAATGTGAGAAAACCTTTACTCAGTCTGGTAACCTTAAACGCCACCAACGCATTCACAGTGCTTCGGTTTAAACATTTTTCAGATCCAAACAAGCTGTTTCCTCTTGCCCTGATAGCTGTGTTGTTTTATTAGCAAGCATAGTGTTAGCTCAGGCAGGCAATGAAGTCAAGCTCTGCTCTCAATCCAAGCCCATCAGCTAATTCCTCTCTTAGCATTAGTTGTTAATTTGAATATAAGGTATCTTATATAAGCTGCTATAGTCTGCTTGCGCTTGCTGCTTCTTCTGCAAGCAGCTCATAAGCACTGGACACCTGTCCAGTTTCAGACGCTGATCCTCGAGGCCCAGCCCAGCAGCCCACTCCACAGTGGATAATCATCCTGACAACTGGTCAGGATCCATTCATCGCTCGCCAGCACAAACTATATTCAAGCCCTGGCAAGTCAAGTTTTCCTGGCACAGCTGGCTGTTTTCCTCCCCGGGTGCAGGCCTGTGACGCCTGGCGATTACTTCCCTCTGGCAGCATCGGAGGTATCACTGTCCGTCAGAGATCGCTGTGAAGAGCAGTTCCAGTCTCCTCTGTGGGTTCCTTTTGTTCTTTCTTCTGCCACAATCTCTCCCTGAGCTGAGAAAAGCTCTGGGGAAACATCCCCACAACTTCCTGTCAAATAGTTGATTGCAGGATTGGTTCAGGGGCCTGACTTGGTTGCCAAGTGTCATTTATTTGTAAAAATTAAGTCACATTAATTATCTTTAATGTAGTAAGCTTGCAAGCTTACGCTAAAGCCTCGAATGTACTCAAAGCGGACGCATACGCGCACAGCTGAGGACACCAGGGACTACTTCTAAACTACTGTCAGGTCGGCGGACTTGCTCCACCCATGTGCAGTGTTTTTGTTTTTGGGCGCTTTCCATTTAGGCGCGTGGAAGGGAGATCCCAGAACAGAGCCAAACATACCGGAAAAATGATTTACGAGCACAATGTGCAAGTAACCTATCAGAAAGATCAGGTGTGCCAGTATGTGCTCCTTCTTGCCTCCTCCTGAGAGCAACACGTTCCCCTGGTTTTACTAAAGTTATAGTAATACTATTCAGTAGTCTTGTTTATATCAGGTGTGTAGTGGGTTGTGTGGGTGCTGCTGGTGGATCGTGAATCCGTCCCTGGTTCAAAAACTACATAAGCACCAATTACAGTAACGTTTATTGTGAGTGTTTTAAATGCTTTTTTCAATGTATCAAATTTTCAAAATATCTGTTTCAATATTTTAGAAATCCTTTACAAATTATTAAGGCCGATGCCGAGTGACCAGATAACAGGGTCTTCACTTCCGTACTCCTCCAATGGTTTCACAAGGAGAAGACAACACACGTAGAGTCAATATGTATATAATCAATAGTTACTTGAACATTTTCTGCTGTGTTCCAAAAAAGGTTAGCGTAGAGCCCTGCAATGGATCGGGCTCAGTTGTCATCTCCTCGGAGGAGGTTTACTTCAACTGTAAGTGTACTTCTGCGTCGAATCGACGGCATAGGGGGCTACGCCGTCGCCTGACATGCATGTCCTCAAAAATGTAACAACACGTCAAGTCGACGCGGACAGTAAGCTCTGTGATTGGTCGGCTGGGTAGTCTTGCAATGCCTCAGAGCCAACAGGAAGTGTCCCGTGCTTTGAAGTAACTTTTACTAGCGGCCAAAACAGCGTGCTGAAACACGGTGGATCGACCCCGAGCAAAATGACTCGTTCCTCTATCAGAATGTGATCCATTCGGTCGGTAACATTTGAAAAGGCTACACCTGCCGCTAAATTAACGGAGCGCTAAGAATAAGTATAAATTCCTGGCTACGTGCGTAGACCCTACGCAGGAGTAGAAATCAACCTTAACTCTTCCCCTCCTGTGGAGCCTGAATCGGCTTTTTT